AAAACCGCATTCTATCGTTTTTCCTCTTTTTGGGGGGCTTCTCACACTTCCCTTCCATACCAAGAGGAGACCTCCGCAGAGAGCGCATGCCTTTCAGGAGCATTCCCAGATGTGGGCAGCCTACAATGGAGGATGGAAAGCTGGCCTCCCCAGCTGACGTATCTCCTGCCTCCACCTGCAAACCATACCGCTCAAAATCAACCCCCCCCCCCAATCTATGTGCATGAAATCTCAAGCATCTGGAGAACAAGGCAGAAAAAGAGATGCCTTTTTTTTTGTCCAGGACCAGGAGGAAACTTCTAAGAAATGGAAGGCAGTTTTGGACACAGGATGATTGAGGACCATAAGAAGGGAGGCCGCAGAGGGCTTGAAGCTTCAACCTTCTGCCCCTGGAGAACAACCTAAGATAGGGTCAACTGCTTGAACTTCTTCCCATGAGCAGAAGCGCGTTCTTCTACTTCTGAACTGCCTTGATTCTTGTAGGAGAGTCTACACCGGTCTTATGGCCAGCCCACCCCTCCCCAAAGAGACTTTATAAAGGGGAACAAGAAAAAGCTGATCCCACTCACCAGAAAGAAACGCAATTCCTTTTATCAGGTCCTCTGCAAGCTCCCTGGCCCGCGATGGGAAAGCGGATTCTAGGAAGCAAAACAATGCAAAGGATGGGAATGAACTGGCTGTGCAGCTCCCTGTCATGGCGCCAGGGTCCTGGGTTCTCCCTACCAGCCATTCTGGGATCTCATCCCTCGTGCTTGTCGCAAAGCAACAGCTTGCCCCTGATTTCTTAATCTGCTGGGTGCAGATTAGCCCCCTCATCCTTTTTCCTCCTGCATCCTCTCTCCTTAAGCACAGTGGAGCATCTTCCAAGCCTCTTCTAATGATCATCTTGGCTTCTTTAGTGCAGGGTTGTGAGTCGGGGTGGGGGGTTAATAGGGTTCTTGAGGTCTTTTTGGCTGCCCTTGAGACCTTCCTGCCATTTGGGGGTGGGGGATAGGCAAAAATATGGAATTTAAGGCCTAAAGTCCCACACCACATTTAAGAAAACTGCCACTCTTGCCCACTTCTGAGATGGCCTTCAGCCCCACCAAAACACCAAAACAGCTTCCTAGAGGTTGTCCCCCTCCACTCTTATTTCTTCCAACCTCCTTCTTCCCATTCTTTCCTTCCATCCTTAACCCTTTTCCTTTATTTTACTGCATTCCTATTTTACTGCATTCCTATTTCATCTAATGTTTTACATTCTTTTACTGTATTTTATTCAAGTCTCCCCTTCCTCCGGTTCTTAAGTTTTCACTTACTCACTCACTCTTACTCACATGCACACCCACCCACACACATTTTATATGTTGTCTGCTTTGTATCTGGCCATCAGTTCTGAGCTTTTCATTTATTTTGCTGGTTGTTCACCATAATTAAATAAATCTGAACTCGAATCTGAATTCAGTCCCTTGTCTGCTCAGCCCCCTACCTTCAATCTCCTTGTCTCTGGGTTTCTTTAGCCTTCCTGACCCCCCAAAACATTTCTCCATTCACCTCCATTCACCCCAGTTTCCTCTCCCCCCCCCGAATATTCCCAAGGAAGCTGAACATTCCATGACATCACATCAATTCAGCCAATCAGCACCAGAACCTGGTGATTGCCAGCACAATCCCATGTAGAGTCTTCATTCCACATCTGTGATCTTATAACTTGCAGAGACTTGCATAGGGAAATCAACATTTGTACACGGGCCCAGGAAATTAAATTGCCATGAGCTGCCATTATTACCTAGTGAAGTCAGGCAATAACCATAATATTGGGCAAAAATGATTTCCAGGGCGTGGCCCACAGCCACCATTTCCAAATACAAAACCTCTTTTTACGGATGCTTGGAGCAGTCCATGATCTTCAGCCTAGCCGGAAAACATCTCAAAAAGCAGCCTTTTCCCTGCAGGGCTGACAGAAGACAATTCAGCTTTAAATATTGCACACAAAAGCAAGATTATGATCTTTACAAAACCCTGGAAAACAGTGAACAAGTGTGGTCTGTACATCAAGAGCCTATCCAAGTCAAGATTCCATTCTAGAGTTGAATGACCCTTCTGTTTTGATGAACTCCATCCCCAAAGGCAGGTTGAATCACTGCAGTTTTTAAATGATCGTCTGGAATTTCTCTCCATGGAGCTGCTTGTAGACGTGGCTGGGGCATTTGCAAGAACGCCCATGGTGTACCTATGGTCATGGTGAGTCTCCCAGGTTTCAGAATGTCTATCTTTAAAATCAGTGAGCTGCTGACCTCCCCTCCAGAAAAGGGGCCGATGTCAATGGAAGTCATTGCACATTCCAGTCCAAGCCTTACACATCAGCAGTGCAAGCCAACAACGGACCGTGACTATTCTTGGAAAAACCCCAAAGCAAGTCTTGTGGTCCTCCAGATATTACAGAACTAGGACTCCCAGCATCCCTCTCCCTTAGCCAAGCTGCTTGGGGCTGTTGGGATTTGTAGTTTAGCAACCCTACACTGAAACAGAACAGGGTCCATGACTGCAATTTGACTCCTCTTTCAGGCCATCAATGCATTAACACATGATCTAAGATAGGTGATCTAATACATTTTTAAGGCAGTTTTCTTAAAGTGGTCTGAGAATCCCTAGGGGGTCCCTGAGACCCTCTCAGGGGTCAGTAAAATCAAAAAATTATTTGCCAGATATTGCAAAAATTTAAAACAATGTCACTCTTTTCATTATTATTTTTTATCTGTTAAAAAATAGGTACTTTTCAGGAAAACTATTTTACTTATGTTACTATCTAATGGGGGTTAACCTTATTATGATGACAT